AGCACGTTTGTATGACATGTTCAAGTGAGATCAAGAGTCTAGGCAAATCCAATGCGACAGAACGTCAGATACCTCCCTCTCCCTCCCCTCAACTTCCAGCAATAGAAAATCCAGGACGGTAGTCAAGACGGCAAGAGGAAGGATCCGATACAGGTCCTGGCACGCAGTAGGTCTCAATAAAATCTCTAGAGACGGCGGAACGAAGCGGGTTGCATAGCCGCGGCGACCAGAAGACTTTCTCATTGCTTCACTGTCTCCGTTGAGAAAATGGGAATACTTGTTCAATCACAGGACAAAATGAAATGCTTCTAAACTTTTTAATTTCTTGGTAGTTTGGACGGAAAGCACCATGGCAGCACTCTCCTTCCCTATCCTCTACATACATTCGTCTAGTAAAAAGAAATTAATCTGTTTGGTAATTCCTAACATTTAAACTTGAAAGATTTCCACTGATAACCTTAAGATTTTTAGACCAACCTCAGGCGGGACAGGGGCCGTTCTACGTTAGGCCTGGGGCCCCGCGATCGCCCAGGGAATAGGGAATGGAACTTTGGGTGGGCAGCGTGCCAATGACAGGGTCCCCTAAGGACCTCCAGCGCACCTGGGGCAGCCCCTCCCCGGCAGCGCCCCCAGCAGCCCGGGTCCTGCGGGGCCCACTGTCCTGCTCCGCCAGGCGCCCAGGCCGGGGCGGCAGGGCCGCTTTAAGGGCGGCCGGGGCGTGCGCGGCCGCAGCTGCGGGCCACGAGGCATTAGCGCGGCCAGGCGGCCTGGACGCGGCGCCTTTGCGAGCTCCTCCTGCGGGGAGGCTGCCCCAGGACCCGGCACGTGGGCAACGGGCCATGGCGGCCTCAATTATCGGCTGTGAGCTCGGCCAAATCTCTGGCCAGGTAAGGGGCGGAGGACGAGGAAGGGGAGGCAGCTGCGCTGATAGCCGCGCGCGGCCCGGGCGGCCCCCTGAGCCAGCGAGGCGGGCGCAGGCGTCTCCCATTCTGGGGACAGCCCGGGAGGGCGGCTGCAGGCAGGGCCCCCGCCAGGGCGCGGGCGAGCACTGGGCCTTGCCCTCCTGGGGTTGGGGACTGGCTAAATCATCCCAGGAAAGGAGGCCGAAGGAGGAGAGTGGACTGAACCGATGTACCAAGAAATCCCTCTCTAGCTCTTGACTCTTGCCCAACTTAAAATCATGTTTGAAGCTGAAGACCGTTTGCAGAGTTACCTAGGGCCAAAACTCCGTAGGTATTTGGGGCTGATGGCCAGACAAAATGTGAATGACGACAATTTTGGTTTTAGTTTGAACATAGGAAAGTTTATTTTCAGCTTTCTTGTCTCTGCACAACTTAGCATGCCCTGCTCAGGTTGTTTACTGACCTGGCGTCCCAAAGTGTCCTCCTACGTCCTTCCTCAGCCTTACACCCAAACAGGCACTTGTGCCTGGAAACCAAAGCCGCGGGCAGGAAGAGGCATCTGCTGGCTTCACACATCCTGCCCCCCTCCGTGGAACGCAGAAAGCCCACTGGCCTCTTGTGAAAGCATCTGATTTATTCTCCCCTTAGCAGAAGTACAAGATCACTTTTGTGGCTGTTTTAGATAAAAATGAAAGACGATTACTGGCCTAGTAGGAAGAAAGCATACACAAAACCTCACCCACCCCAGAAAGCAAGGCAAGCCGGTGTTGGTTTTCTCTTATTCAGTATTTCACACATCTTGATAAATATGAGGGGGACACTTTTTGGGCTGCGTGAAGCTTTATTGCCCTTTAGAAGGTTCTGCATACTTAAATCTCCTCACTCCTTAAGGACGGGTTTTCTGAAATGGAATTGTTACCACTTTGGAGTGGACCAGTTTAATGTTTTCTTAATTATTTCAAAATGGAGGCACCTGCTTAAACGCAAAGGAAAAATAGTATTTTATGGTGCAGGATTAGGAAAAGCTGCACAAAATGGAACTCGTAATAAACTATTTGATTATCTAGTAGGACGTAAATAATTGTGGTTTCCTGCCCCTAAGAAAGTCCAAAGCCGCAACAGACGCTTTGTTTGCATCCTAAGAGCAGCTTGCTCAGTTCCTCCAGACAGAGCTGTTTAAATCCCTTGACTCCTGGGGAAACTGGAGGCCCTCGATGGCCCCGTGAGAGCGTCAGCCCCTGCAGCTGCTGCTGATTGTCCTGATTGTCAGTGCTGCTCCCGGTGATAAGAGTGACATAAATAACAACTCACTAAAGTGTAGGCGTGGTTTACTTTAAGCACTTTGGCACCTGCTGTTACTAATTAAGGGTTTAGCCTGCCACAGATTGCAAATGGAAATCCAGTGTTTTAAAAACTGTGGAGCCTGGAGTGCCCTGCGTGTTACTGTGATCTCAGCAATCAGAGTGGATAGAGAACATTGGTGGGGATGATGTCAAGTCGTAAAAAGTGCTCACACTTGAAAGAGCCACACCAAGGTGTTCGTAGTGTTTATCCCTGAGTGGTGGAATTACAGATGCTTTTTATTTTCTCTTTAGGCTTTTTTGAATTTTCCAGTCTTTCCCAATGGATATGGACTGGTTTTGTTTAAAAAAAAATAAGAAAGGTGCAGTAAGCGATTCAAATAGAGAAAAATTTTCTGCCAAATGAAGTTGGAATCAGTTCCAGTTGTGGCGCTTACAGGTGAAAATCAGATGTACTGAAAGGCAGTTTTCCAGAGCAGAATGTGCTAGGAAGTTCTATTCCTTTTCCTTGTATTATTCAGTGGATCCTTCTCATCACCTATGTTCATGTTACGCCATCAACAAGATATTTTTAACTGAATAAATATTCAGATTTAAGTTGATGAGAAGCTGCTTGGTTAATTCGAGTTACCTTGGGATGGTGGACTCGGACAGTGGACTAATTTGTCTGATTATTAATGTTCCGAGTGTGTGATGGCACTGATTTTGGAGGGCAGGGAAGGAAGACCTGGCAGGAGAGCAAATCAGTTCTTTCCAGAGCTGCTTTGTTTCATGCCCCCTGTCGTGCTGCAAGGCACTCTGCAAGACTTCAGACTCCCGCGCTGAATGGCCAGCTAGTGCTGCTGCACCGACTCGTCCCGTCTGGATCTCCTTCCCACCTCCTCTTGGATTTCTTCCCACTCCCCGGCACCTGTGTTCTGCCCTTCAGCGCTCACTCCCAACTGTTCTCCACAAGACTAGCTGAAAGGTTCTGGGGAAATTGAGAAGTGAGCCTGAGGGGAAACACTCAGGCAGTCAGAAGCCCCGGGGCTAGCCCGGAAAGGGTTCAAGTTAGCAGCTGATGTCTGCTGTTCCAGACTTACTTTTGCTCCTCCGTAGGCCGTGTTCTCCGAGCCCTATGGCTCAAGTAATGCAGAGAGCAGTTTGATTTTGGGCTGTTTTTGCTGCCTGGCATGGGTGCATTTTCCGCTCTCATTCTGCCTCTCACCTCCTTCTTCCCCATCAGATTGATTTGACGTCTTCTGTGTTCTTTGTGCTCAAGTTCGGTATTATTTGAGAAAACATGGCAGTAAATACCACCTAGAGGGCATTGTACAAACATTTCTCAGTATAACAGTCTTGTGATATAAGTATTGTTCTCCCCTGGATGGAGATCACTTAAGTATCTTACTCAAAGCCATCAGAAAGTGGCTGAACTAGGTGACAGACTGGTCTATGTGCCTCCAAAGCCTTTGCCTTCTTCCTGCTGCATCAGGCTTTTAAACAAGAATCAGTAACAGCTTTGGTAGAACTGAGGCTCATACACCATTCTTCCTGTGTTCCAAGGACTGAAAGCCATCCTTTCTTATCATCAGCAGGAAAAAAGACCTCTAGAGTGTAAGCCCTGTGAGGGCAGGGACCTGTCTGTCTGTTCACCTGTATTCCCAGTACAGGGTCTGCCCTGTAGTAGGGGCTCAATAAATATTCATGTAGAGAATAAATAGATATCAAGCATATTTAAAGAGATGCATAAAGTGCATCTTATGGATGTTTTAAGGGAAAAAGAAAATAAACCTTTCTAATAGAAAGTTGTTTTTTGGGGGTTTTTTTGGTTAGGAAGATTGGCCTTGAGCTAACATCTGTTGCCAACCTTCTTCTTTTTGCTTGAGGAAGATTGTCACTGAGCTAACATCTGTGCCAGTCTTCCTCTGTTTTATATGGGATGCCGCCTCAGTGTGGCCTGATGAGCAGTGCCATGTCCGTGCCCAGGATCCAAACCAGTGAAACCCTGGGTCGCAGAAGCGGAGTGCACAAATTTAACCACTCGGCCACAGGGCCAGCACCATTTTTTTTTTTTTTTTGATTTTGTCTTTTTTATGGCTAAGTAGTATCCTATTGTGTGTGTGTGTGTGTGTGTGTGTGTATGTGTACACATCTTCTTTACCCATTCATCCATTGATGGGTACTTGAGTTGATTCCACGTCTTGGCTATAGTGAACAGTGCTGTGATGAACACAGGGATGCATAAATCTCTTTGAATTGTTCATTTCACGTTCTTTGGATAAATATCCAATAGTAGCTAGCTGGATTGTATGGTATTTCTATTTTTAATTTTTTGAGAAAGCTCCATACTGTTCTCCAGAGTGGCTGGACCAGTTTGCATTCCCACCAGCAGTGTATGAGTTCCCTTTTCTCTACATTCTCTCTAACATTTGTTATTTCTTGTTAATTCTAGCCATTCTGACAGGTGTGAGGTGATATCTCATTGTAGTTTTGATTTGTATTTCCCTAAGAGTGATGTTGAACATCTTTTCATGTGCCTGTTGACCATCTGTATATCTTCTTTGGAAAAATGTCTGTTCATGTCCTCTGGCCATTTTTTGATTGGATCTTTGTTTCTTTGTTGTTGAGTTGTATGAGTTCTTTATGTATTTTGGAAATTAACGCTTTGTTGGATATGTGATTTGCAAATATTTTCTCTCGGTTGGTGGATTGTCTTTTCGTTTTGTTTGTGGTTTCCTTTACCTTGCAGAAGGTTTTTAGTCTGATGTAGTCCCATTTGTTTATTTTTTCTTTTGTTTTCCTTGCCTGAGTAGACATGGTATTTGAAAAGGTATGGCTAAGACTGATGCCTATAGTTTCTTCTAGGAGTTTTATGTTTTCAGGTCTTACATTCAAGTCTTTAATCCATTTAAAGTTAATTTTTGTGTATGGTATAAGCTAATGTTCTACTTTCATTCTTTTGCACGTGGCTATCCAGTTTTCCCAACACCATTTGTTGAAGAGACTTTCCTTTCTTTGTTGTATGTTCTTGGCTCCTTTGTTGAAGATCAAGTGTCCATAGATGTGTGGTTTTGTTTCTGGGCTTTCAGTTCTGTGCCATTGATCTGTGTGTCTGTTTTTGTGCCAGTACCATGCTGTTTTGATTCCAATAGCTTTGTAGTATATTTTGAAGTCAGGGATTGTGATACCTCCAGCTTTGTTCTTTTTTCTCATGATTGCTTTGGCTATTCAGGGTCTTTTGTTGTTCCATATAAATTTTAGGATTCCTTGTTCTATTTCCATGAAGAAGATTGTCATTGGATTTCTGATTGGGATTGCACTGAATCTGAAAAAAGGAACAAGGTGCCCACTCTCACCACTCTTATTCAACATAGTACTGGAAGTTTTGGCCAGAGCAATTAGGCAAGCAAAAGAAATAAAATTGGAAAGGAAGAAAAGTAAAACTCACAGTTTGTGGATTACATGATTCTATATATGGAATACTCTAAAGAATCCACCAAAAACTATTAGAAATAATCAAAAACTACAGCAAAGTTGTAGGGTACAAATTCAACATATAAAAATCAGTTGCATTTCTATACACTAATGATGAACTAGCAGAAAGAGAAGTCAAGAATACAATCCCATTTATAATTGCAACAAATAGAACAAAATAACTAGGAATAAATTTAACCAAGGAGGTGAAAGACCTCTATCCTGAAAACTATAAGACATTATTGAAATAAATTGAAGACATAAAGAAATGGAAAGATATTCCATGCTCATGGATTGGAAGAATAAACATAGTTAAAATGTCCATATTACCTAAAGAAATCTAATAGAAAATTTTACAAGTTATTCATGGCCCAGGACACTCTGGGTTTATACATGTTATTTTTGTGTAATTATCAATAACACCCCCTTTCATTCTCAAAAGTGTCTCAGCTTGGAAGGTAAATATGGTTACTTTAGCAGTTGGGTTATTTTGGGACATTCATAGGTTGCTTCAATAAACCAGGTTAATTCAGAAAACTATAATCACTCCTTTTATGACAACTTGTTAATGACTGTTTCAATGTTTGGCATTTGGTTCACAAATGAAGATACTGGTGTGGAAGAAATCCTGTGCTCTGGTGGAGAGTCACAAACAGTCTGCACTCAAAAGTGTCATGGTGGCTGTTGAAAATGAGGAATGTTTATAAAATGAAAAGGAAATACTCCTGAAGGGTGCTGATACTCTCAACTGTAGAAATTCCAAATTTCATAGCTCATGTGAAAGTATTCTGCTGTCTTCTTAGAACACAAGATATTTGAGGGAAGTGGAGGGAAATAAGGCTGGTGATGTGGGTTGATATTAGGCTGTGAAAGGCCATGCTAAGGAGTTTGGATTTTTGTCCTATTTAAAATAGGGGTTGGCAGATGAGTGAGATTGGCTCATGATGGTGAATTGAGCACACATGTCAGCTTCCCCATCCTCCCCAACCTCCAAAGCAGGAAATACTTTAAAATGTGCTGATACCTTCAGTACTTAAAGTAAATATCATGGGGAATAGTGGTGGGGTGGATTCCAAATTAAAAGTCCAAGGGGACATAACAACAAATATAATGCATAGTCCTTAATGGACTCTTGGTCTGAACAAAGCAGCTGCTCTCTGAACATTAAAAAAAAACCCAAAACACAGGAAGACTTGAAATTTAGAAAGCAAGTGGGATCAAATTGCCACTAACACAAAAGCAGAAATCCACAGGTTAGAAGATATGGAGAAGAGAAGAAATGCAAAGGTAAAACAATTCTAGTGATAGTCCAGGCCGAAGGGTAACAGAAACAAAGATGCAAGTGAGCCAGAGGGTGCTCAGCTGGTGAAGAGCTGGCTGTATGCAGAACGCCGCAGCCAGGTGGGCCCCTGGATTCTTTAGCCTTGGACTCTCCCAGCTCATTCCTACCACAGCTGGAGCTATGGTACTTTTAACCCCTGTAAAAGAAAGAGTAAAAAAACAGAAAGTGTAAAAGAGAAGTAACTGCTCTTTCCAAAGAAAATGAACTATGTGGGGGACATGGGCTCCTCGTATTGATAATTTCCAGACCTCTCTAACTGACAAGAATTAAAAGAAAGGCATCTCTTCCCAGGAGGGAAATAAACTCAAGTGCTTAGTTTTCAGAGTAAAGCCTGCCTTTTTTTGACAAATAATGGTCCCAGCCTCTTTGCTCCCCAGCCTTTGCTTCCACTGTCCGACCCACTCACACTAAATTCTTGGTCAGTTGTCCCTTTAAAGCAAGCAGCCACTGCAGAAACAGAGCACCCAACTGCTGGGGAAACTGCTTATACACGTCACCTGAGTCCTTGATTCATCATTATGTTTGGATAACCAAGGATGGCCAGATGTTAATGGAACCAGACTGCCGATGTGCAGACACTAGACACAACTATTCCAGAGACAGAGTATTAAGGGGATAGGAAAAAATGTTTAAAATTGTAATTTTTGTCCTCAGAGAGTGGTATCACATCCTAGAAATAATGGGTTATGAAAAATTACCAAAGAAGAAAAAAGTGAGCAATTCACATTAAGTTAACTGAAATTGTAAAAATCTTTAGAAGGACCGAAGACTGAGCTGGTGATATGAAAAATAAAGTTAAGGAGGTCTCTCAGAAGTTGAGACATGAAGGATCAATCTAGGATGTCCAACATCTAATAGAGGATTTCTAAGGAGAGACAAAGACAATAGAGAGGAGGAAATTATCGAAAAAATAAAAGAAGGAAATTTCCAGAGCCAAAGATCTGCTGAGTGCCAAGTAGGATGTGCCAACAGACACATCCTAGAGAACTATCAGAACCCATAGCAGAAGAGAAAAGCACCAAAAGAGAAACAAAACAGCTTATTCTTTGCATCTGCCACTCTGAGCGTGAGAAGAAATGGCCCGATATCATCAAAGTTCAGAGACAAAGACATTTTGATGATAGAAGTTTTACCATGTAAAGTAAGCGCTGGATTGTGGGCCCCAGTGCCACTTAAAGAACACAAATAAGATGTTTAACTTCCAGAGTATTGTAGGAGCAGCAGGAGAGAAAGGAAAATTTGATCAGCGTAACAGAAGGTATGGGAAAAAAGAAACAAAATTATAGTAAACAGGAAACCTGAAAGAACAAATGAAAGGAGTAAGACCATTTCTCATTAAGTTGTAAATGTTTCACAATTAATTAATATTAGTTAATTACATCACATTAGTTAATGCCATTAATATAATCAATTACTTAAATTCCTATATTAAAAACTGAAATCTCAGATTGTGAAAAAAACCCCTAAAAATTCAAATCTATGCTATTTACAAAATTCACACAAAATCAAAATATGTAGAAAGGCTCAAAATAAAGAGGTATAAAAAACTAAGTGCCATATATCAGAAAAAATAAAAATTTCAGGTGAAAAGCATTAAAAGGACAAAGAAGTATATTTCATATATATAGTTTTCTCTCTATATAATTGTCAACATATGAATTTATATATATTAATATATACTATGTAAATATAGGTCAATGTAGAGTATATATTAAATATTATAGTTATATATATGAATATGTATAACTATTATGAACCTTTATGTACCTAACCCATAATTAGAAATAAATGCTAGAGCTGGCCTGGTGGTGCAGCGGTTAAGTGCACATGTTCCGCTTTGGTGGCCCGGGGTTCGCTGATCCGGATCCTGGGTGTGACATGGCACCACTTGGCAAGCCATGCTGTGGTAGGCGTCCAACATATAAAGTAGAGGAAGATGGGCATGGATGTTAGCTCAGGGCCAGACTTCCTCAGCAAAAAGAGGAGGATTGGCAGGAGTTAGCTCAAGGCTAATCTTCCTCAAAAAAAAAAAAAAAAAGGAAAAGAAATAGATTCTATAGTTAGACAAATTGATATATTGACAAACCATAATTAGAGAGGGAAGATTTTGACACATCTATCTCATGAACTGAAAGATCAAGTAGACCCAAAATAAACAAGAAAGCAATGAGCAAGTTTGATCTAAAGGATATGTAGAGAATATATGCCCAACAGAAAATAACATTGTTTTCAAATATCCATGGAACATTAATAGAAATTGGCTGTGTGTCAGGCCACAAAGAAAATATCAACAAATTCTAAAATGTAGGAGTTATGTAGGGTGCATCTGCTATTGACAAGGCACTAAAATAAGAAATGAGCAACTAGTCAATAGCCAAAAAAATAGAGAATCAAAACCAAAACCACTATCCTCTTGAAAATTAAAAACATCTCTATATAGGTGTTTAATATAACTCTTTGGTTAAAATGGAAATATAAAAAATTACGAACTAGCAATGAATGAACATGAATGCAATATATATTAAAATCTGTAGGGTACGACAAAGTGCCATTTAGAGGGCTATGTCGTCCAATAGAACTTTCTGCAACAATGAAAATGCTCTGTGATTATGCTTCCTGAGACGGTAGCCACTTGTCATATGTGGATGTCAAGCACTTGAAATGTGGCTAGTGTAACTGAACTGAATTTCAAACTTTAAATTTAATTAAACATGACTTGAAATAGCCACTTGTGACCACCATATTGGACCACACAGTTACATAGTCTCTAATAAAACATTTCTAGAAAAAGAAGATAGAAAAAATTTAATTACATTTTCCTCTAGTTACAAAAAAGCATGAACTCAGCACAATAAATATTATTTGCATTTAAAAATTAATACATTTGAAAAGATAGATGAATGGATTTTTTAAAATATAAACAAAATTCACTTTAGAAAAGATAGAAAACTTAAATTTACTAGTAATCACTAGGAGCTGTTAAAGGTAGTCTAAAATCCACTTCTCTAAATGGCTTCAGGCCCAGATTTCACAGACGTTTTACTTAAACCTTGAGAAGCAGGTAATTTCTATGTTTTATAAAATAGTCAAGACCATAGAATAATGTTGAAGCTTTCTCTTTCATTCTTAAAGGCTGGCATAACCCTGATACCCAAACCGGATAAGACAATACAATACAACAAAATTGTATCTGGTTTCACTTATACACATAGATGCAAAATCTAAAATAGAATGAATGAATTAAATCTATTACATATTATGTATAGGTTTATCCCACCAATGCAATGATGGCTTGACATTAGGAAATCTGTTAATGTAATTCACTACCTAACAGATCGAAGGAGAAAAAAAATAATACCATTTTGAAAAAGCATTTGATAAATTTCAGTGCTCATTTCTAATTTAAAATTCTTAGCCTCCAAATAGAAACTTCTTTAACTTGATAAAGGGTATTGGCCAGAAACCTTCCATATCATGTTTAGTGGTAATAACCTTTGAAATATTCCCACTAATGTCAGGAACAAGGTGAGAATGCCCATGGTCACCTCTGCTATCAGCATTGTTTTGAATGTTCTAGCCAATGCTTTAAGATCAATAAATAAAAGGTATAAATTCTTGAAACAGGGACAAAAATGTTATTTTTGAAGTCAGTATGATTACCTACCTAGGAAATTTGGAAGAATCATCTAAAACATATTGGAACTTAATAGAGAGTGTTATATAGTACTTGAAGCGAAGTCCTCACAGAGACATCAATAGCATTCTCTATGTCGACCATAATCAGTCAGAGAATGCAATGACAAAAGCCTTCACAGTGACTCCAAAATCTTGAAATATCTAGCAATAAACACATGAGAACACATGCAAAATCTATATGAAGGTAACTGTAAAGCTGAAGGACATCAAAAAAGGCCTGAATTCTCTGAGTCATACTTCCCAAATAGGGAGACTTACTATAGTAATGATGTTCCCTAATTAATCTTTAACAGAGATACAACCGTAATCAGAATTTTAACAGGGTTCCTTATGGAACTTGACAAGCTGATGCTAAAATTCTATTGGAAGAAAAATTGTGGGAAAATATCTAAGAACCAAATTGAAAAACGGCAAGGAGGGAAACATATGTTCTATCAAATATAAACATACTATAAATAGCTAGTAGTTAAACAGTGTGGTATTAACCAAGAGTAGGCAAAGAGATCAATGGATCAGAATGAAGCCCGGAAAAACATACAAACGTATATATATATGGCATTTCAAAATACTGAGAGAAGTTTAACCTATTCAATAATTATTCAGTAATGCTGTTGGGCAGATAACTCTGCATTTGAAAAAGATGAAATTAGACACCTACCTCACGTTAATCACCAAATAAATTCCAGATGGGATAAAAAGCTAAATGCAAAAAATAACACCATGAAAATATTAGAATACACTATTAAAGCATATTTTAATAATACAGAGATGGCTTTGAAAGCGAGACAAAATTCACCAAAGCCATAAAGGAATCTGTTGGTAGATTTGTTACTAAATAGTAAACATATTTGTGACAAGAGACCTTATAGTCCGAGTTAAAAGCCCTGACAGACTAGGAAAAAATAGTTGACTTATATCCAGAATATGTATATAAACTCCTCCAGAGCAAGAAGAAGAAGTTAAACAACAAATAGGAAGGTGGACAAAGTTAATAAATAGGCAAGCATCATAAGTAGACTATGCAATAAATAGAAATGGAAATCACCACTAAAATTAAAAGATACTCAGCTTTACTATTAATTAGAAAAATGCAAGTGAAAGGGGAAATTGAGGGGTATTTTTGCTCACATATTGGCAAAAAATAAAAAAAAGTATAATCAGTCTTACTAAGGATTTGGGGAAATAGGTACCCAGATGCACTTGGTGGGGACATAAATTTTTGTATCTTTTGGGGACAACAGTTTGGCATTAAGTTGAAAAGCAAAAGCAAAAACTTACCTTCTGATCTTACAATTTTGTCTCTAAGATATATGCTTATTTGCACAAAGCTATATTTATAAAGGTGTTCATCGCAGCGTTGTAATAACATCAAAATCCAGCACTAGGAGAATGGTTCAATACATTATCATCATCATGAATGAGGGACATTGGATCAAGGCGACAGAGGAGCACATGTTCTCTTTCCTCCTCAGATCACAACAAATGATAAAAAACGTGTTTCAAAGAATAAATCAAAACATCCTGAAAAATGAGAAAGAATGTTCCCGGCGAACCAGCATTTTTGAGGAGTTGTTGAAGTGTATTAAGTGAGAAAAGCAACTCACTTTTAAAAATACAATATCCTATTTATGAAAAAAGCTATCTATGTACATGCACATTATACTTATGTGTTTGACGTAGAAATTATCTGACAGAATATAGACCAAACTCTTGACAGTGGTTGCTTCTAGGGAGGGAACTGAATTAGGATATGAGAGATGGGTACGGGAAGACTCGCTATGTTTTTTTTTTAACAAAAGAAGGAAGAAAATTAGCAGGTAGATAGAAGTGAGAAGTACACAAGCTTTGCTTACTTTGAACTCACCTAGTTTCTTGCGCCTCACGTTTTCTTTCCAGCAGCCCTTGAGAAACCAGGCTGAAAGGGGAGGTGCACCCCATGGTGGGCCACCTGTGCCAGCATTCTGCCCTGCAGGGTTGTGTCTTTGGCGAGCTGCCTTTCTTTTTGTACAGGTATTTCCAACTCCTTCACCCACTTCTTTTGGCTTCAACTCTGGTCAACTCCCAAATCTGTTTTCTCATGTGGAGCTGTCTATGGCCTGGCATTTCCAACTGTTTCTATTAATTCAAGCATCTCCATTCTTTGACACTTTCAGTGGATTGTGTTCAGTAGCTATAGAGAATAAAACAGAGAGAAATAGAAGATGAAGATGGAAATTATATTTTTCCCAACTGACTATATTTGAAAATATCCCCAAATGGAAATAAAGAGGCTTTTTAGTTCCTAATGTTGGGATGTGAATATCATGTATATTCCATGTAAACAAAGGACTTTATTTGAGAGTTTCTTAGGATTTGGGAATTTAGATCTTACTCTGTTGTATGGAATGTGTATTTCATCAAAATAGTGTGAAAGAGTCCAAAAAATAGTTTGAGAGAGTCACCGGTTTGGTTCTCTCATTAGTAAACGGATTTTCCAGCAGGACAGGGGATTGGGAAACTGGGCCATAAGAATCCTGTGTATTGTTAATAGGACAAGAGAGAAACTTGCAGGAAAGCCACTGGGGAATAGTATTTGTAGGCAGAACTTTTAAAAATAGCACGACCTTCAGATCCATTGACTATCCTAGGTCCTGAGGACTTGAAATTAGTTCCTGGCCTTGAGGTACTTATAGTTGACCATTCAGTCCAGCTACATAGTCAGTCATTGTGTTATTTGTAGCCTTTACTTATTTTTTCCTCTGATACATGACATTTTCCCTGTGCCCAAATAATAATTATGTGGCACTTCTGCTTTTTTTTCTTGTCTTTCAGGCAAAAATAGACCTCTTATTAGTTGGAGACGTCACTGTTCAGTACCTGGCTGACACTGCACAGAAATTCTTTTCGAATACAGCAGAAGTCACCATCACCATCAGTGATGTGAAGAAGGCAGCCGTGCTTCTGAATGACTGCACCTTCAACATGCTTTTCCTGAAGATGACTTCTTTACCGACGGCCGAGGAACTGGAAACTGTCCGACTAATTAGGTAAACTCCAAACACCTTGACTCTGTATCTTTAGGATAGTTTTTATTAAAACCTATTTCTACAAAAATCCGTAAGAGATTATGCTATTTCTACTTTAATTTTTAAGATGAGGGACATTTTCATGGGCAGAATCTACATACGTTGCTTTTATTGCTAGTTTGACATACTATTATAAAAATTATCATTTTAACTTAAAAAGTAATAGGTGTGGGTGAGAATGTAAGGGTTAATTGTTCATTGAAATCTACTTGGTATATAACGCTTACCTTTATGCCATAGGTGCTACTTTTTAATACGTATGTCATTAAAATGGCCCATCTCTTCAGAGTTCATTAGTTGTTTTGGCAGATACTAAAGCAGGTGAGCACTCTGAGCTCCATGTCATGTTAACTGTGGCCTGAAGGTGTCTCTTTTAAGATGTGCAAGAGCTCTGAAGCTCTCTGGGTCCATTGAGTCCAGATCAGCACTGCTTCCAGTATTCTTGTTTATCTTGCAGCTCCACAGAAGTTCTGCTTCTGTTTGACCCAGTCCACTCTGGAGATCTGGAGTCTAGTGGTGAGAGTTAGGTTCTTCCATACATGACTACATGAGATTTTGACCCATTTGGGGTGTTTCTGAACAGGATTAGGTCAGAATGAATTTGTTCCCCTTCCACGAGAAGACTTGATAGAGAAAGTGTAATGGTAGATAATATTGGGATATGAAGGACTTCTCATAATTATAGAACAGACCCTTCTAGACTAAAGGAGAAAGTTCAGAGATAACATTGTGATCCCTGAATAAATAGGAGCAAGCATATTCTGTTAGGGGAAAAGAAAGGTTGGAATGTCAAGAAGACAAAGCCACTGGTTACCTGGTAAAGAGAGAGACGGACAGACAGACACTGCTCCTGGGATTTCTTAGAACAGATGGTCTTCTGCATTTCTTTTGGCTTTCCACTGGGAATATGAACTCTAAACAAACCAGGCAAACTGCCTCAAAGTGGATTTCATTTCCAAAACATGTTGTAAACTATCCTCCTTCTGAAGATATGCCTATTTTATTGCTTACCTTAAAAAAAAAAAAAACTCCTATAGATAGAGTGCCCCTGGTCGAGGGCTCATAATAATGTCTCATTTACATAATATTTAAAAATTTTTGCAACAGCTTTATGAGGCAGGTAGAGCAGTGTTTCATTATCCCTACCTGACAGATTAGAAAACTGAGGCTGAGGACTTGCCTGAGACCACGTGGCTTATTTTCATACAACTCAGACTGGAACTGTTTACTTTTCCCTTCTGTTCTTTCTAGAAGCCTGTAATTGTTTGGCTTCTATTTTGAAGCCCCTTCTTTTCCACCTCTGAGATTCAGTATGTGCCAAGCTTAGGAGGAAGTAAACATACTTATGGTGTTGGGCGAGCTCTGGACAAATCAGTCTGGCTGATCTCTCTCTACGTTCCAAAAGTGGGATCCTAGCTGTGCCCCTCCGAATGCAGGAAAGGCTTTGTATTTGCTCATTGCTGAAGCTACATTTTCAACAGGATAGCGGTAACGTTCTGTTTAAGAACAAGCTTTATGTCTAGTCACAGTAACTAAAAGCCGGGGGTTAGAGGAGAGAACTTCCTGTCTGATACTCACCTCTGTGGGTTCTCAACACTGCTACTTTCTTTGCTCCGAATAACAAAGCTTAAGATCTCCTAGCATGGAAAAGAAGGTAGGTAAAGGTACTAAATGTACGTACATGCAAATGGTAGTTCTACTATTTTGCTGTAAAAGCATTTGTTTGAAAAGAAAAAAAGGGTAATTTGTGGAGTACACCTGAATTTGTTTTTCTTGCCTCTTATTACGCTATTCCCGATACCCAGCATAGGTCTTGACTGATAGCAGGTATCTGATACCTTGCTGTAGGTGTGACTGTGGATAAGTGGGAGAAATGCCATTCTAGGGCAGGCAGTTGAGTTCTAGCTTTTGTGTTCCTCTCTGAAAAGGGGACAAAGCTTTCTTTGTGGAAGCTGTGCCTTTCATGATTCTGGCCTCAGAGGCTAGAAGTGTCTCTGAAATTCCCTTTTTTTTGTCCTCAGAACTGTTATGAGTTTATGATTCATGAATTATTCAGACCCTTGTAGAATATGTTTGTATTTTTGAACCTATAGTTTTTCTTTGGGGCATGAGTCCTACTGCCCCATTTATAAGGCAGTTAAACCTGTATCTTTCCTAAAGCACTGTATCTTTTGAGTTTGAGTTAACATTTAATGACTAAACCAAAAGGAAAAGTCTTGGTTCAGCTTTCTGCTGCTGTATTTTAGATTTTTTTCCTCTTAGATGTTTGTTATTGTTTTGTAATATCTCAAAATCAGGATAAATCTAGGAAAACATGCAGCTGTTTACCTTAGTCTTCTCTCTCTGGGAATTTTATGTGCCCTTCCAGGGAATGAGGAATTTACTGTGGAGTAGAAGTGTCCACACTTATTTTCACTATTAGAGCTCATGATCACAAATCTATCTATCTTAAGATATATGGATTTCTATTGAAAATAAGAATGAAGTATAGCCTGATAACTGTACCATTGGGCTTATTTTGGAATAAAATGTCAGAAACTTTCTTAAAAAGATTCTCAAATTTATTCTTGTAGAGGCCAGCCCAGTGGCATAGAGGTTAAGTGCGCACACTTTGCTTTGGCGTCCTGGGGTGTGCAGGTTTGAATCCCGGGTGCAGACCTACACCATTCATCAAGCCATTCTGTGGTAGCATCCCACATACAAAATAGAAGAAGACTGGCACAGATGTTAGCTCAGGGACAATCTTCCCCATGCAAAAAGGGGAAGATTGGGGCCGGGCCGGTGGCACAGCGGTTAAGTGCACTCGTTCTGCTTCTCAGCGGCCTGGGGTTCCCTGGTTCAGATCCCAGGTGCGGACATGGCACCGCTTTGCATGCCATGCTGTGGTAGGCGTCCCACATATAAAGTAGAGGAAGATGGGCACAGATGTTAACTCAGGACCAGGCTTCCTCAGCAAGAAGAGGAGGATTGGCAATAGTTAGCTCAGGGCTAATCTTCCTCAAAAAAAAAAAAAGGGGAAGATCAGCAAAGATGTTAGCTCAGGACCAATCTTCCTCACTAAAAAAGAGAAAATTTCTTCTTCTAGAAAAACTAGTTGATCATTGATCACTTTTAACAATTCATAAAAATATTGGTACTTTACAGACTGATATTCTCAAGAATTATAGTGCATCTCAGTTGTAGGGTAACTTTCTTAATAGTACTCCCCAATTTGGTTTCATTTCATGAACACATTTTTGTTGAGCCAGATGAACTCAAACACTACCCAGTGGTAAAACGTTTTAAGATAGTCTTGGGTTCCTATGCTTGGCTCCAGAATTCCAGAGATAGTTGACTCTTGGCTTAAGTCAGCTCTCAAAATTGAGCCACACTCAAAGGGCAGATACTTGATAATTCCGATACATCTTGACACTTTATCTTCCGAAGACAGGTCCGAAAAATTGAAATATGGGGGCCAGCCCCGTGGCTGAGTGGTTAAGTTCACGCGCTCTGCTTCGGCGGCCCCGGGTTTCGCCGGTGCAGATCCTGGCCGCGGATATGGCACCGCTCATCAGGCCATGCTGATGTGGCGTCCCACATAGCACAACCAGAAGATCTACAGCTAGAATATACTTCTATGTACTGGGGGGCTTTGGGGAGAAGATGAGGGAAAAAAAAAAAAGATGGGCAGCAGATGTTAGCTCAGGTGCCAATCTTTAGGAAAACAAAATTAAAATACGTTTCAAATCCGTCAACATTGTATGGATCCTGTCTGAAATTGTTATTTTCTGTTCCATGAAACGTCTCTACAGTTCTCAAAATTCTGTGATTCTCACGAGCTCAGAGCAGTTCAGCAATAGGAAAGGAATGTGGAATGTGGTTCCATCTGCTCAGTCTACAAATCAAATTTGGATCTGATTTCATTTTCCCCATGCAGTTTCCATTGTCTAATCTGTTAACTTATTCTTTCCCTAAGAAAATCCAATCTTGTGAGCCACGGGGATCTAACAAATCGTCCTTTTACGTCCCCAATTCCCAAACATCCTTGACCTGACAGTGCAACTCAGTAAGTCTTATTAGCCAGCTTGCATGACCTAGTCCCCTGAACACTTGACAATAAACACAATAACAGCAAAACATCTAAGTAGTTTTACTAAAAACATTATTCTGTAAACCGATGGTGGGTGTAAATAGGAACTGAGGAAAATTCTAGATCTTTGTCATTTCTAGCATCATGTCATGCGGTGAAGCTGACTTAGGAGGCTCACAGAAGGTGTTCTTCTGACAAACAGCATAGTGGGAGCAGGGTGCACCAGCCTTCACTGTTGACCAGAAGACACTCTCGGGACTCACTATATTTTATCACAGGTGTCCTATTAATAGCAAGTGAACTCAGTGTTTACATATTTATGGTAGAACTCTCAATTTTCTTACTGAAAAATTTTTTTTAATTAAGTAAATAACAACATTATTTGTTACAAGTCCCAAATAGGCGGCACCAGGTTATTGTGGCTGCATTGGGTCCACAGACAGCATAATGGGTAACTGTACTCAAGATGGCCGCAACACAAACATGACACTGGCTTTTGTCCCTTGAAGTCTTTTTGCTTCTAGAAATTTCCTCTGGCTTTATAGGGACATATAAGAACGCTTTGGTCCTCTGATTAGATGATAAATTTCAGAGGCAAGGACTTTCCTGAGGTTCTTTGGTCAGCAAAGGGTACAACTCAGCTCAAAAGACTTCTGTGTGATCATTTTTTTTTTTTTTCAGTTACTAGGGACCAAATCTGAGGATGGGGGCAAGACCAGGATTGGGTACTGTTGCAGTTTGAGCTTATGGCTGCCCCCAGTTCCAGAGAGAACGGAGGCAGGCATAGGAATGGACACTAGAATATCAATATCCAATTTTGTATGTGGAGTATAGTCTCAGGAACCACCATGATAGTTAAACGTGTATTCTGTGAAACCTGAGGAGAAATGAGTTGTCCCCCAATGAACTGCGAATTTTTAAAACCCAAGGGACTTCAATTGAGAAAGGTACTCATAAGGTCTCGGAACCTGCAATTTGGTTTTAGTATATGGAAGAAAAAGTGACATTAGTTGAGGTGAATAAAGGGGATTTTTGTTTTGTTTTTGTGTTGCTTAGTTTTGTTTTAAGGAACAATTCCGTTTCATTAGAAAGAGGACCTCTTTTTGGTCATCCTGGAAACTAGAAACTCTTTTAGCTTATTGATTTATAGAGAATGTGAATGAGCAGCTGAGCTTCAGACCAGAGTGTTGGATTCTGGGAACTGCATTGATCGCTGGAGTTCCTGTCCAGCTCTACAGTTAGGGCTCCACTGGCAGGGGAAGTGTTTGGGTTGGTAATTGATTCTGTGCTAATGGCAAAAAGTCCAGGAATTCCAACTCTGTCTGATGTAAGGCTTGAAATTCAAAATTCGTCAGGGCATATAAATCCATATATCCAAATCTAACTTATTTTCATGTCAGTAAAATCAACTTATAAAATTTGAAAACATAGACACAGGACTATTTCTGAAAGCAAAGAATCGGTTTTTTTAAAAATCTTCTGATTCTAGAGTTTTTAAACTTATGATAATTAATTTTTTTGTGAATCTACAAAGTATTTTTTATTTCAAAAGTCGGACTAAACTACCCAATAAGTTTCTTTCAGTGATCCTGTCTGTTCAGTGCACTTTTCTCTTCTACCTCTTTCCTCATCCTCTTATCCATACCTCCATTATACCCCACACTTTTTTATCACTTAAAAAATATATATGAAATGCTTACATTGTGGTAGGTGTCATTCTTGTCACTCCATTCCCACCATGCCACCCACCCCAACATTCTAATATGACTCTCTTGCCACCACACTCAGTCAAATCCTGTCCTCCCTCTCACATAGGCCTATTTTGATGGTAGTACTTCTGCCTGAGCTTCTCATTTCTTTATAGAAACCATTCATTCTTTCCTTTCTTCTCTTTCAGCCCAAACTCCTCAGAATTCATAGAACAGAATTAAGCCTGAATAGACCTCAATTGGGTGAATTTTAGCAATATCCTGCTTATGTGAAGTAATTAACTTAGTAAATATCCTGAGTTGTTTCCTTTTTAGAGGAAGTTCTTGGTTATGTTACTCCTTTCTACCATCAGCTCTTGCCTGGATAATCACAATATGTTCTCTCAAATCTACCCTGTGCCACCCTTGTCAATCCATCCTACCATAGGCAGAGTGGTCTTTCTAAAATGTAAATATAATCATGTTACTCCCAAGTTTAATAGTTTCATATTGCTCATTTTAATTAAATACCAAATCTTTAATTTGGCCTAAAAGGCCTACTGTAGTCAGACTCCAGCCCTATCTACCTCTCTGGTCTCATCTTAGATGTGTCTCCATCAGACGCTCTGTGCTAGGGCCATCTTGAACATCTTCACTTTCTCAAACTCACCTGTTCTCTACACCCCAAGGCCTATGCACCTGCTCTTCCCTTTGCCCAGAATGTACTTTATTGCTTATCTGCTTCCTACCCTTCTCCCAGTCCCTAACTTTCATGTGGCAAACTCCTAGCCAGCTGCTGAGGCATTTCTGCCTGGGAGCCTCTCTGAGGCGGCAGAGCAGGTTGGTGCCCGTGTGCTCCCATTGGACCGTATGGCTTTCCTTCACAGCACTGGGCACAAATATTTGGCCACTTAATTAATTATCTATGGTAATTTGTTCAATGTCTGTCCTCCCCAAGAAACCGTAACTCCTTGAGATCAGGGACCTTGTCTTTCTGTCTGTTGACGATATTCTCTGGAGCCTAGCACAGGGTAGGTTCTCAATATAGTTGACTCAGATATATAAATTATATATAATGTAATTTATAATACAGAATCATATAAATTTACTTTCAAATGCATATATAAGATAACCTAACAATATTATGCAGTCGGCGTTCTTCCAGGTCTTGCTTTAAAGACTAAATAATAACAATGTATAACCACATACTAATAAATGATGCTTTATAGATTTAAGAATAGTTTGTTTTTCTTAAGCAGTTTTAGCTGTCCTTGTTAAATTCTGGTTCACAGTAATATTCTCCTTGGAAAATCATTTTCTTTTAGCTAATGCCAATGCTCAGTATCCATCAAATTATCAGAAATTCCAACTTATTGGACTCCTAAGTGTAGTTAAAAATAATGCCCCAATTTTTTTTTGTTTTATTTTGGAAATTTTCAAGCATATAAAAGTGGAGACAATAGTATAATGAACTTCCATATACCCATAATGCCACTTTAATAGTTATCGACAGATGGCCAGTCTTACTCCATCTCTGCCCTCTCCCACACCTCCTTCTCCTCCCTCTCACCCCTGCTCACTGGTGGATCACTCTAAAGCAAATCTAAGACTTCATTTCCTTTCATGCATAAATAGTTTAATAGATACCTCTTTAAGATAAGGAGTCTTAAAAAAAATAACCACAATACCAATATCACACCTAAAAATTCATAACAATTCCTTAATATTGTCAAATATCCAATTGTATCCAAACTTCTTTTGTATTATCTTACAATTTCTTTTTTAAACTGGGAGTTTGTATAAATCAGGATTTAATGTTCCCTTCCTTCTGTTTTATTCATTTTGTCTTGCTCTTTATTTATATATGTTTTAAAAAAGCAGTCATTTGTCTTATAGAATTTCCCACATGCTGGATTTTGCTGATTTCCTCCCCATAACATTCTTTAAAATATTCTTTTCCTTAAATTGCTTGTAAACTGGTAGTTAGATCAAGAATCTGCTTAAGAGTTAGGCTCATTTTTCTTAAAGCAAGAATAAAAGTGGTCCATCTTACATTCCACCTAATACCTGAGTAGTATTCTCAAAACTGCCAAGATCATCAAAAAACAAGGTCAGCAAAAGTGTCACAGTCCTGGGGAGCCTAGGAGACATGATGACTAAATATAATGGGATCCTGGAACAGAACAAAAGAGTATGTTATGTAAACACTGAGGAAATCTGAATAAAGTATGAACTTAAATTAATAATAATGTATCAATATTGGCTCATTAATTGTGAAAAATGTGCCATGCTAATGTTAGACGTTAGCAATACAGGAAATTGAGTTCAGGATGTATGGGAACTCTCTCCTATTTTCATATTTTTTTCTGTTAATATAAAATTATTAAAAAGTTTATTTTTAAAACATCGCCTATTCTCTCATTTACTCTTTCCCCGGTTGTAAAGAACCAGGCGTTAGTGGGCCATAGATACGAATCGCAGAAAGACTCTTCTTATTAACAGAGTGATCTTCTGCTCAGGGAAGCCGTGGGTTTGAGTAAAGACTCAGAATTTAGATTTCCTTGCCCGTTAAACTGAAACAGAGAGCCTTAAACATCTATTATAAATAAAGCTTTAAACAGAGTAAATATTAGTTTCAGGAGAGTCTCCCCCTCCCTTGCATTTCTCAATTAATCTGTGGCTGTCCTGCCCATCCCAGCCACTCACTTCAGAATTCTCCTTATGCAGTTGTATGAAATAAAAATATAGTCCCTTTCCTTATAAGCTGTAAAAAAAAAAAAAGATCTTTTCCCTCACTGATTCGAGATGCTACTTTTACTAAATTTCCATATTAATGCCATCAGTTTAAATTCTAAGATATAATGAAAATCACTCTAATTTAGTTCCTCATTAGCTAAACTATTGAATCCCAATTTTTGGAATGATGATTTTTCTTTCATATTAACTTTTTTTTTCCTCTTAGACTTGGCAAGAAGAAAAATACACATTTGCTGTTTGTTTTTATAATCCCTGAAAATTTTAAAGGTATGTGCCTGCTGGATGCATTATTTGTTTTTCCTCCAAAGAGAAATCATAAGGTCAGTGTTTAACGCAAAGATTCTTAGGTTGTATTTCAGGGCACGGAGCTGATATTACTTTAACTGAACCACTGACAATGGAAAAAATGAGTATTGTGGTAAAATACTGGAAAACATATTTCTCAAATACTGGTGAGTGCAAAACAAATTTCCAAAAGTTTGAAAAATTCTACAAAAACTATATTTATACCTTTTATGGTTGGTTTTCCACGTATGCCGTTCATTTGCTAAGGATTAACTGTTTGCTGTATACTGTAAAGAACATGTAACCCCTGCTATTTACAGTCTGAAGAAAACAAGTGCAAATAAAATAAAGAGAAACATATGTTCTCTACCTGTGAGGAAAAAATTTACATCTTCACAGTTTAAAATGTGTTGCACAAGGACAAATAGAGTAGGGTGGTAGGCATAGATTTTTTTTTTTTTTCCAGTGGAGAGATTGTGTTACTTTGTTTTTGGTGGCCTAGCTACTCACCGTCGTTTCTTAGTCATTAAGATAGAATCAATCCTGCTATCATCTTATGATTGTCTAAAAGCAAGGGCCACTAGCCTTCATTTATATCGTACTTTCTGCTTTGCAAATACTTGCATGTAAATTATTTTACTTCTTTAAGTTAATAAGGTAGTTGTCCTTTCTGTTTTAGGTTTTTAGACACAGATAATTAATGCCAATCCTTCAATTAGACCTCACATTTCTAAACTCTTCGCCTATATTGTATTATGCGTATCACCAGCATCTAAACACTTAAGCTAATTAAATTAGCTTTAATTTGGTTTGTAAAAGGACAGACTGCAATTTCTAGAATTAAATTCTACTGGAATCATTGTTGGACATTGGCTATTTATGGTCTTATATTATTTATTTATAGGTCTGGGATACCAGCTAGGAAATCTTTTAAAATTAAGATGAAATTTTTCTTAAAATAGGCCTGAAAGACGCTTTCAGGATTGTTCTCTGTAAGTGCATACTCCGGATGATAGAGGATTCAGTACACCTCTCCTTTTTTTTTTATGTTCTTTTTTAATATTCAGGGAAGATTAGTGAGTCTGTTTTTCAACATTCCGATGGCTCCCAGCCCTTGCAGTGTCAGAGTTCTTCCTGGAAATGGCTAGTGGTGGTGACCAAAGTCCTTGTTGTCACCTCTTCTTATTTTTCTCAGTGGAAATAGAGCAGCTGCTCATTACCACCTGTCTAGCACCCTTCCCATTGGTCATAACCATGTCTGCTTCCACTCATCTCATCTTTGCTCTGAGGATGAGCAGCTGCAAAAAGAAAACCAACAAAACCATCAGATCCCATATTTTAACAAGGCAGCTGCTTACTAAGACTCATACATATTTTCTGTTTCTGCTGTTCGCCTGTGAATAAGAACTTAAGAAGTGAACTCAGTTGAATGCGTTTTGTGCACACTTATCGCTAAGTCACTAGAATCTTGTTGAAAGAGGATGTCCTGGGGTAAATAGTATGTATTATTTTAATTTTGCTTTCTAACCTGGGTGGTTTTATGCTTCACAGGCTGAAATCTATAAAATACTTAATGTTTTAAAAATACTGCTTTGTAAAATCTGAGTAAAAAGTGAGAATTGCTTTTAATTGGGGCTTGTATGTGTGATTAACATCATCCCCATCAATGGTTTTAGAATTAAAATGGTCCCTTTTAAAACTTTCAGTGAAGAATGAAAATTCTGTGAAGCCGGAAGAACTTGGATTGTCCCTGCAGAAGTCCTGCAGCGAACACCTGGGATATTTTTCTACTGACCTCTTTGCGTGGTTAGGTTTTTTTTTCACTTTTTTCATAATAGCAATTTTTACTGTGTACATTTAATTAAAAAAATTTCTGAAGAACTTATTGATGGTGGAACCCTAGCTCAAGTGCTGGGTGGGGAGGGTGGGGGGTGATACAAAAGAAAAAATAGGCTATTTTGTGGAAGAGGGATGCAAGTTTTCCTGTATTTCAGAATCCTGAGCTGGGACTATGGGAACACATCACAGAAGCATTCAACACACTGTAAGGAAGCACTTCCTAACAATGAGAGTTGACCACAGGGGAGCGGGGTGAATTGTAAGGTAGTAAGTTTCCCATCACTGGGTGTGTTAGAGTCTAGGTTATCACTAATCAAAGTTAAATAATAGTAGTGGTGTTCAAACGTTTTTAAGAGTGGAATCTTCAAACAAAACTTTTACATATAACCTCAGTATTTAAACAGAGAAGAGCAGCCTCAGCTCTTATCCATCTAGCACTAAGCTTCTCCCTGAAGTCTTTTTTGAGCCCATGAACCTGTTCCCTCAGTTATTGAAAACAACCCTCTGTTGGATAGGCAGTTGAACTGGGGGTCAGACCTTCCAATGCTAGCATTGTATGTCTATAAAAATTCAATTTTTGTGAAGTTCTTCACTTCATTTTATGCTGATTTCCAAGGAGGTTTTAAATAGCGCATAACTGCTGAGGATATGAGTGATGATGATGGGAATTTTGAGTCAGTCACTTCCGGAATTTGTAGAATGTGACCAACTATTTGTAGAAATGTGACCATCTACTATTTTGAACAAGGTAGAGACTTGGCAACCACTAAGTATGGTTAAACCAAAGATGCGCTCGTTTAAGTAGTGCAGAGATGTCAACAGCTTTCTTGATTTTATTTAACATTATAACCTCAAAGAGATTTACAGTCACACACCACGTAGCGATGTTTCTGTCAACAGGAGTCCACATATACGACAGTGGCCCCGTAAGATTAGCGCCATATAGCCTAGGTGTGTAGTGGGCTGTGTCATCTAGGTTTGTGTAAGTACACTCTATGATGTTGACACAATGACAAAATCACCTCGAAACACATTTCTCAGAGCATACGCTGCCGTTAAGGGCTGCATGACTGTAGTATATTACACCTTATCTGGGATATGAGGTGGGGAAGGGTTTTGGAAGACTTGATAATTTTTTTGTATTACTTGCAACTACTTTTTGGAGCCCTCCTCATCTAGAATCTTTTTTTGTTTTTCCTCAGAATCCTACCACTATAAATAAACGTAGATTTTCAAATCAAGTTATGTCCCTTGGGATAAAGGAGATAATATTAGTTTGTAAATTTATTGGGGAAATATTGTTTTTAAAAATCAATCAAAATGCTTGGAGAAGTTCTAGAAAAATGTCCATTAAATGACACATTTTTAAATGGGGGGAACCTGCCCTTTGCTGATCAAGTTGGAATGGTGCATCTTGACCCTCTCGTCCTTTCTTCTTTTTTCCTGTAATTCCTTTAGATGCAATCAGATAATTTGGGATAGTTGTAATCAGTAGGGTCAGAATATTTTACTCCCCTGTATCTGTTATTCTTTTTCAGTATATTTTAGAATTTTGATCCATCATTGAATTTATGAAGATCTTGCTAATAAATTCTTTTGAAATTTTGAAATAAAATATCTTGTCCCAATGTGAAAGGTAAAGTGCTTTGATATTTACTGCACCTTTCTATGAAGCAAGAGACTTCGAGAGGTGCCCTTTGATAGTGTATTTGTGCTTTTGTTTAACATTACCTGAGAATATTCCTCTTAAATGCACAATATGATTTCTCTCTTGTTTCCAGCTCTGAATCTCTAAGAAATGACTTTGGGCTTGAACTAAAGGCTCCATTGTCAGATTTTGAGAAAAGCAAAAAGATTTCTCTTCTTCATTCAAGCAAGGAAAAGCTGAGAAGGTGAATTATGATAAGCCCTTTTTTAGCATTATTCGTTTGTAGGAAGAGATTATTTTGATGAATTTCATAATTTTTTGTAATATTGTTAAAAGTCTATGTGAAACTAGTAAATCTGACAACTAAATACATGCCACTCACTCATTTATTTACTCACTCACCAAATATCTATAAGTATCTACTATATGCCAGAACATGATTCAAGAACTGAGATAAAAAATAAACCCTTGTCCTCAAGGATGTCTTAGTCTAGTGCTCAGACAGACTTCTAAATAGGCTATTTTTTGTTTTAATAAATGTCATCATCAAGACGAACATACAGTAAGCATACCAGGAAAGTTACCTAAGACAGAATAAGGCGGCCAGGAGGGCTTTCTTAAGAAGATGATGGCTAAATTGAGCTTTAAACAAAAAGTCACTATTAATTTGGCTTAGAAGTCGGGCAAGGATGTTTCCTATGGCAGGGGTAACAGGTACAGAGGCTGGTAATCTAACAAAGTGAATTTATGGAACTGTAAGTATTGCCATATACTATAAGGGCAGAAATGGGGAGAGGCACGAACTGAGAGGTAGTTGGTAAGGGCTGGGTATGTCATGTTAAGGAATTTGAATTTGAATCTGAACCATTCATTGGGAGGGACACTGAAGGATTTTAACAAAGGAGTGATGAGGTAATGAACACTGTAGCAGGATGTTAAAGAGTGGATTGAATCTGGAGGTCAGTGGGGTCTGTAATGAGAAATGATGAAATCCTGAACTATGGTGTTAGAAATGGGATAGCAAGGAATAAGCCAATCCCAGAGATATTAAGTGGATAGAATCAGTATGAGCATGGCTGAACGAGGAGTCAGGAGTAACATCCAAGTGGATATTGATACCATTGACTGACTGGGAAGTACAGTAGAATGGCAATCTGTTAGTGGGTGGGGGGTGAATTTTTCTCTTGTTGAGTTTGAACACCTCCGGGTTTAAATGGTTCTGTCCAGTCAGGAGTTGGCCCTTAGGTTCTAGAGAAAGATCTAGGCTAGAAATATAGACTTAGAGCTCTCACCATACAGCGTCTATTTGACGCAGTGGATGCAGGAATGGATATGATGACTTTGAAAATCATATAGGGAAGAAATAAGTGGAAAAAAGAACGTTGGGGAAAATCTCAATATTTAAGGTACAGGCAGCAGAGAAGAAATCAGGGGAAAAAGAGTTACTAGGAAGATAAGAAGAAAACCAAGATGGTATGGTATTGAGACTAGGGAAGAAAAGAGTTTCCTAAAGGAAAGAGTATCACATGACACAGAGATCAGGTAAGGTAAGAACTGATAATTGATTATTTGTATTTAACTAAACCTAAATGTCATGCATCTAGGCAAAAATAATTTATTGGCCTGATTAGGGAAGAAGCACCATTGCAGAAAGATGGAAAATGACAGGTGGGAGCATAGATGAAATGAAAGAGAAAATGAAGATGTTTGGTACGTAAAAGGGAATTTAGGGTAAAATGAGAAATTTTGATAAGACTGGGCCAGACTTGAGCATGTTTATATTTATATTCCAGAAGAATATAGCTGGAAGAGAGACAGAATTCTTGAAGATACTTATGTTCTGGTTATCTGTGGCTGCAAAAAAAATGAACCCCAAATTTATTGGCTTGATACATGGTTTTATGGGTTAGCAGTTTGAGCAGAGCTCAGCTAGGCAATTCTTCTGCCTACATGACATTAATTGAAGTCACTTAGTAGTATTCAGCTGGTGGATGGTCTAGTCAGGAAAGTGCAAGGCGTTCCATCTGGAGCCTTTGCAGGGATGGCTGGAAGGCTACGCTCAGCTGGCGCTGTCAACTGAAGCTTCTCCAACATGGTAGTATCAGGGTTGTCAGACTTCTTACATGGCAGCCCAGGCGTCCTAGAGAGAGTGTTCCAAGAGACAGGAAGAAGGAGCTGCCAGTCTCTTAAGGCCTGGAACCAGAAGATGGCCCAGTGCCACTTCTATCATATGCTATTGGTCAAAGAGGTCACAGAGCCTACCCAGATCCAAGGCAAGGGTACTTAGACCCCACTTCTCAGTGGGAGGGATGTCAAAGAATTTTAATCCCCTACTGCTGGGGAGTGGGGTTGGTGATGGATTTAGCCTATTTCTGAGGTGGCAGAAGTCTTCAGAATCTAGAACCAGGTGAAAGAATACCTCTTCTACTGAAAATAGAGAGAAGGAGCTAAAGCTAAGTGTGGATGAAGATGAGTCTTTTGATGGCGACCAGAAAGGAGGAGGAAGTTGAGCGAATTCTGCCAAATGGCCTCTGTTATCTGCCAAAGATTAATGGGAAGATGGGGTTTGGGGCTTGATAAGATGTGCTGGTGAATGGGCTAGTCTGGTGCCAAAGGACTTGACTCACAAGTCTGCTGCTTTGGCCAAGTGAAGACTGCAGGCCTGCTGACCAGTGCTCTTCTGTAGAGGTCACTGATCTGCAGTGAAAGGAGAAAAATGCAGTGCAATGAGGATTTTTAAAGCTACATATTATACAATTCATATTCTAAGATTGTTTTTCATACTTTATTTGGTGTGAAAATTGTGATATTAGTAAGTGATTCCAACAAAATGATGTTGGGAGATGGTACCTTTCTTTCATTACTTTTCATGTCCAGATCTAACTTTGGCGATCCTTTATTGGTCCCGCAAAGCTCTGTGTTGTTTTTATTTTTCAATTTTAATGATTGATGAAAACTAAAATCTGAGAACCACACCTAGTAGACTAAAAAGATACTTTGGGGGTCTCCACCCCTGTTGCATTATTTAAGGACTGGAAATCTTTGTTTCCCCAAAAGAAAAGCTGTAGCCAGGACCCCCTCTATTCCCCTTTAGAGATTTGCTTGAGAGATACCAGAAAGTGAACAATTCATCCATAATAACTAATTATTTTTTTGCCTTTTCTTCCTCTTAACGCATCTGATTATGCCTGTGAATCTTGAAATAGATTCTTCTAGTCTGTTTCCTTTCCTGCTCCTCTTCCTCCCAATCATCCGCTTTACATAGGTTTGGTCTTTTTTGTTTTGTTTTGCTCTTTTTTGTTTGTAAGCAGCATAGGGTAACATGATGTTTGCTAATGTTAAGGAAATAATGATACCAGCTGGTGGTTTTGAATATTTGCGTTTGAGAATCTCTTTTTTAAACAACTCTAACATCTCTGTTTTCTTTATCAGAATAGATTAATAAAAATTAGCTACATAATTTCAATATTCTTGGTGAAATCCCTTTCATTATACATTTTAAATACCTAAATATTTCTTTATCTTGGTAAAGTGTGTATTTTTCAAAGGGATGCCATCATTTTGTTTGTGTGACCAGAAGTCTGAAATGATGTGGTTTAATAGTTTTCAGGATGTCTACTCACTTGAAAAGAAGTGAAAGTGAGCTTCGCCATGGTATCTCACAAATGAAGGCTTTTTCAGGGCTAGTCAAGTACTAGAAATTCAAGGAAGGTAGAACAGGAAGTTCTCAGAAGGTGCCAAGTCATATCTGGCCAAGAGACCTTTCTCTGTGAGTTCTTGTTTGCTTGAGACACATTTGTACAGAGGAGAGACCCAAAGACTTAGTTGGGACCAAGACCTTGAGCTTCAGATGTCTTTCTGCCTCTCAGAATCACTCTTAAATGGGAAAGAATGAAACCAGATTGATTCTTTTCCTGACTTAGTTGGATTGGGTCGTATTGAAGCTGGCTTCTGTGGCAGATGACAAAGACAAAACACACTCTGTGAACTGTGTTGTCCGTTGCTGCTTCTATACACAAAGGAAAAAGAAAAGACAAGACCATATGGAGTCCCTGGAGCCTGTTATCCTCCTTCTTTGAGCTGATATTTGAGCTGATCCTTCAAAAAGTTTCACTAAACCTTTCCTTCTCATTCTTCTGTTTTTTCAGTTTTTCAAAAATTGTGACATAATTAACATACAATGAAATGCCATGAAATTAATATACAATAAAATCTTAAGTGTATTTTTTTTCTCTTTTTACTGGATTTTTCTGTTTTTGTTTTGTTTTGTTTTGTTTGAGGAAGATTAGCCATGAGCTAGCATGTGCCGCCAATCCTCCTCTTTTTTGCTGAGGAAGGCTGGTCCTGAGCTGACATCCATGCCCATCTTCCTCCACTTTTTTTTTTATATGTGGGATGCCTGCCACAGCATGGCTTGCCAAGCAGTGCCACGTCCGCACCCGGGATCTGAACCGGTGAACCCCGGGCCGCTGAAGTGGAACATGCGCACTTAACCACTGTGCCACTGGGCCTGCCCCAATGTTTTTGGTTTTTTAAATTGATTTTTAGAAGTTCATTATATATTCTGTATACTAGCCTTTTGCCGGATATCTATGTTGCAGATATCTTCTTTCAGACGTATTACATATTTTTAGCTAATACATAAGACTTGAGTGAAATTCTGCTCGGAAGAGGTCACTTCAAAGGATGAAACTTTACTTACGTATTTGCTCCACTATTACTTATTCCCCAGCCTTGTCTTAGCCTCGAGTTCCTAACCTTGATGTTAGAACCAGAAAGATTTCAAGACACAGTGAAAGAGGCTAGATCCATAAGATTTGCTGATACACTTCATAGTCTTGGGAATATTAAAGAATTTAGGATAAAGAGTTACCTTCAATGGGTATCAAGAAGATCAAGTGAGTGTTTATAAGAGATGGGTTGCTTGTGTTTGAGTCTATGGTTTGATGAGTTTTGAAGAGATGGTTTGTTGCTCAGTTCCCAGGAGAAAGGGGTACACCACACTGTGGCTCAGGGCCACATAGGGAAGCACCAGGGTTGGGTAGGAGGCAGACAAATGCTTACACTCATCTAAACTACAACACTTCCGTCATATTAAGATATTCCCTTGTATATTAAGTGTCTCTTTTTGTTCTGATGTTTTGACATCTGGGCCCTTACTGACCATGGGGAGACTGCCTCTCCCAGGGCTAGCCAGTTTTTAGAGAGAGTAAATGATGTGCCTGAGAGCGCACCTTGCATATG